TTTACTTTCTAGAGAAACTTTGATGGCTAATTTATGTCTTTCATATTCATGTTCTTTTGTGTGACAGGATTTCATTCTGATCCGTATCACTCTAATGCCCCAACATTAGCAAGCACCTGAGCAAACATTTCAATGTTCACATCTGAAATAAAAGAAATAAAAAGTATTATTAGCACACACAAACAACCGTTGTATTCCAAGCTTGAACGATAACTAGTGAAACTTTTTTCAAGTTGTTTAAATATTTTGTACAATGTTATCAAGATAATTAGTGTTTTACTATGCAAAAGAGCTTGTGGCCAAGCTATATCTTTGAAACACTCAATGTTATGTAATATGATACCTACTTATTTTACAAGTGCACAGGGCCGGCGCATCCTATAGGCGACTTAGGCAGTTGCCTAGGGCGCACCAGCCCGGGGGTTGCCAGATTTGAGTGACCGGCAGGAGGGAAGCGCACAACGCTCCCTCCTGCCAGTCACTTAATGTAGCGTGGCCAGGCAGCGCGGAACACGGGACAGGAAGCTTCACTTCCCTCTGCGCCGCCCGGCCACGCTACATAGGTAGGGGAAGAAGGGGAAAGGACCACTAAGTGGGTGGGGGGACAAGGAGGAAATGACCACTAAAGGGGTGGGGGGGAAGACCACTCAAGGAGTGCGGAGGAAGGGAAAAGGACCACTAAGGGGTGGGGGAGAAGGGGAAGCACCACTAAGGGGTGGGGGTGAAGAGAGGGGAAAAGGACCACTAAGGGATGGGGGAGGGAAGGACCACTGGTTTGGGAGAGACGGGTGAGAGGGAGTACTACTAAGGGGGTGGGTTGACCACTAAGGGGGGGGGACCACTGAAGGGGGGGGGGTGGAAGAGGATAAGGACCACTAAGGGGGAAGTTAGAAGACCACCAAGGGAGGAATGCAGGACTGGGGGCCAAGGGAGAGCACTAAGGGACAGGAGGGGAGGAGAGAGCACTAAGAGACAGGAGGGGAGAACACTGAGGGACAGGAGGGAAGGGGAGATCACTGAGGGACAGGAGGGAAGGGGAGATCACTAATTGACAGGAGGGGAGAGCACTATAAAAACAAAAACATTTTTAAATAAAGAGCTGCTCCCCTCTGAGTCCCTACCCTACCCTACCCTACCCCACAAACCCTCTCTTTTACACTACACACATATAGAATGCATTCCTACTCACACACAGACACATCGAAACACACAATGCATCCCTTAGGAGCACACACACACACACACTGATTCTCTTACACACAGAGAAACAAAATGCATCTCTTACACATACTCAGTGCACTCCTTACAGAAACACACTGCATTAAATTACATACACAGAAACACACCTTGAATCCCTTACACACACACATAAACATACAATGCATTCCTTACACACAAACACACACTGCATCCCCTACACACACACACTACATCCCTTACACAAATTGATATCCCTATACACTACATTCCATAAGAACACACAAACATTACATCCTCTACAATAACACATAAAACATTACCTACCCACATACACTCCACTCCCTGTGAGAGAACTCATGGGTGGGCCATGTAGGTGAATTTATGGGTGGGTCTTGCAGGCATACTCATGGTCAGGCCCTGGGGGCCCAGACCTTGAGCTGTGTAAGGGGCCCAAAAAAAATGGAGCTGCTTCCTGTTCATTAATTGTTGTGAGCACTGTTACAAACAGTCTCCAGAGAGCATCTTCTACACCAGTCCTGTGGAGCCAAACTGCAGCCTGAGCCCATCATCATCCTCTTGTCCTCATCTGGTGGTAAGAAGGCAATCCAATATATTATTAGTGGCACTAATCTCTAATTTACCTCACATTATAGGGCCACTATAGTCACCAGAAGCACTACAGATTAATGTAGTGGTTCTGGTGTCTATAGCATGTGCCTGCAGGCTTTTTAATATAAACACACTGCTTTTTCAGATAAAAGACACTTTGTGCAGTACTGGCATTGGACCATATGGCAGAGCATATGGGTGGGGCATTGTGATGTCACATGTTGGGCAGGACATATGGGGGGAGACGGCAATTTTTTTTGCCTAGGGAGGCAAAAATCCTTGCACCGGCCCTGAAAGTGCATCTTTCTTCTCATTTGAGATCACTGGAATCAGGAAATATGGTCAACGGCAAACTAGAGGTTGGTAAAGATTGGAATGGGATGCAGAGGGTAAATATCTGGTATACTCAGTAATAGAATATAACCAAGTATAATACCAACGAGGAGAGCAGGGTTTGATGGGATAAAAGCTGTATAGTGCTGTAAGAGGATGCAGTTGCACTGACAGTATTTAGTAGATATACTGCCAAAGAAAACATGCATGTATTGCTTGTTTTTTGGCTATTTTATTTGGGCAGCATATAAGAAGAAAAAAAAACAGTTTGTAAAATCTGCAGACCTGCTCACTGAGAAGCCTGTTAGCTGGAGCCATGGGTTTCCAATGTTTCTCAATGAGCTGGGACTAATGGAAGAGGAAGAAAACGTCCCTGGCAGCCTAAGGACAGCTGGAGAAGGGTTCAGCAAGCTGAAGTGATTGATATGCCTGGAGTGTTTCTTTAACACAGACTTGAATCAAGACAAAAATAATTTTTCATTTTATTATTTTACAGAAAAGAGACACCTACCTTGAAGAGCAGGGTAAAAGGGAGCTAAGGCTTTGAGGCATGTAATCACAGAGTCAATATCTTTCCCTTTCAGTAGCTTTAATATATCTGGAGTAAGAGTGTTGGAGGTTTTCCCAGTTGCATTGCTTGACGATGGTGATTCTAAAGGTGGCTTATTTGAGTTAATGGTGGAAGATGTCTCCTGTGTGTCAGTGACACGTCCTGTAATAGGTACTTCCGTAACAGGCGCAATATTCATATTGGCAGTAATTGAAGATACTGCATGCCTCTCTTGAGTTGGAACAACTGGCGTACTGACATGCGTGTTCAAAGAGAAAAGATGTGAGGAACATGAAGGCTGCTCTGCATTTTGTTTCATGTTACTCATTCCAGAAATGCTACTGGGTGAGGAGCTTGAGTTGTAGTTGGGTTCTGTAACAGGATGGGAAAAATACTTCTGTCCAGTAGGATTTTGGTCTTTTGTTTTATTAATGGAGGACAACGGATGGACTGGAATCATGACAAGAGGTTCCACAGTTTCCTCAGCTTTTACTTTTTTCCCCTGCAAACCTTAAAAAAAAAAAAAAAAAAAGGTTGATTATGAACATTGTGAGATGTCCAGACACACTTGTTATCACATAATTTTATTTTTTTTAAATTAGAAAATAGAGGTTTTAATGACCCATCAGATTATACTATTACGTAAACTGAGCAATAACGAGAATAATATACATATTATTGCATGAAGTACTCATTTCATCAATTTTGGCAGGATTGAAGCAGTGTTACCTACAATTATATCTGGATTCCCTTTCCAGCATGCCCCCCAGAAGATTTCCTACTGGCTGTGTAAGGCACTCCCAGGTTACTGCAGCCAGTAGGAAACAATTACAGAGCAATTGACCAAAGCATCTGTGGACATCCTAAGAAATTCCTATCTGCTAGAGAAAGGTTTATAGAGAACAAATAATTTTGAATGCAGTATGTATCTATTGATGTTAATTAATAGGCACTGAAATTAAGTAAACCAGATAATTATCTAACACTAATTACTAAGTATGCTTTTGTCACAGTAAAAGTATGCACATTGCAGGGGGGGCGGACCGCCGAGCTGGACGGTCGCAAGCAAGATCAGCTCCTGCAACATATCAACGTTTAAGCTTTAAAAACGTTTTTCAACTTAAAAACAGACCAACAGCGATGGTCCTCAGCACAAAGGGAACACTGGATCCAGGGAGAGGCTGGCTCTTCGAGCTTCAGTCCCCTGGAGGAGAAATCTTCTATGTCCCAGTTGGGGCCTTCTCCGGTGGTGATGGGATGGACGGCCGCTGCCCAGCACTTCTGCCTAACAGAGCAAAGCCAGAGACCCAAACCCGCGTGGACCTGGCCCTGTCTCCCCCCCTATGGACCGGCGGGGGTGATCCCGGTCCTCACCCTGTGGCCCCGACCGCGGCAACGTAACTAAGGCCCAGCAACACCACCTTGATCTGCGGCCAGAGCGGTACATCTAAAATGGCGGGCGCCATGTGCACAGGAGGCAGAAGGAAGACCTGCTCTCTCCCCGCACTCACAGCAACCAGAGCGGCTCCTGGGCACAAGCTTGATGGGCTTGCAGCCTTCCTACCCTGCAACACAAACAGATGGAAGAACCCTCACCTGTCCCCACAGCAATCCAAACCAGTGGCGAGCAGGGCAGGCGATCCAACCAAGCTGCTGAAAGCGGCTGCACCGAAGAAACGGAACACCACACAATGACCTTTGCCATCAGGGACAACCGACCCTGCCGCCAAGCAAGTTACTCCTGCAAAGGGGCCGACCCCATAATCACCTTACACCCATCTTGTATTATGACGGCCCAAAAAAAATCAGCGCGAAAAAAAAGCGGCAAGTTTTCTCGGACAACGTTCAGCTTCCTGCATTGGCGGACACTAGCCTCCTGATTAACAAATATGGCAGGCCCAACTTACCACGGCTGCAGCCCAATGGAGCCCAGCGAGGAATTCAACTAAAAGCATTGCTGGACTGTGCCCAGATTCCTGCCCAGGCAGACACTCGCTCCCTGCTACACCGACACGGCAGAGCAGGAATCGGCTAATCATGAGACTGCTCCCTTCTGTGAGGACTTGGGCTTGAACCAGCTCAAGTAACCAGGGTGACATCTTCTTTAAAGCTCCTTACCGAGATCCAGCATGATTATTTTATATTGTACTTTTATGTTTTTATAATATTATACAGCACTCATTAGGCATGCGTTCAGATAGCCTGTTCCCAATTAATCTTACATTGACACGTGTTAATTTACTTGTTTATTATTTTACTCTGCTGACACTTATGCTTCACCAGCTTGTCTCACACTCACTCACATGTCTACGTAACTCACATAGATCACATCTTATGTTATGCTTTGTACTCTAGACATATTTGACTCCCCTGTGACCTAGCTACTTAACTGCAAAACATGTGTGCAGTGACCCTCTATGCCTTAAACGTGTTCATATGTGTATTTTACCAATTTTGTACCTGCTGTTGGGGCATGGCAAGAGCTTGTGTTAACTATTTGCACCACAAAAATAAAGAATAATAATAATAAAAAAAAAGTATGCACATTGCTTAGCTAAGTTTGTTCAAAAACTTCAGTGTTGACATTAAATTACTTATGGTTACAATAGGGCTAATAATATAATCTACAATGCTTACTAGTCAAGTCTTAAAGTGACTTGCCACTGCAAGGCTCCTCCTGCAACATGCCCACTTGGAATGGATGGAGCAGCAGCGTGCTTTTCCCAAATGACTTGCACTGAACTTGTATTTTAATTTAATTGTAATTTATAGCATGTGGGTGCACATAGGAGTTGTAGGGTGCCTTGTTCAGCTGCTTGTGGACCCCAATATTTGTAGTCTATGTCTGTGAGATAAAGTACAGTTGCAAGAAAAAGTATGTGAACCCTTTGGAATGATATGGATTTCTGCACAAATTGGTCATAAAATATGATCTGATCATCATCTAAGTCACAACAATAGACAATCACAGTCTGCTTAAACTAATAACACACAAAGAATGCAATGTTGCCATATTTTTATTGAACACACCATGTAAACATTCACAGTGCAGGTGGAAAAAGTATGTGAACCCTTAGACTAATGACATCTCCAAGAGCTAAATGGAGTGAGATGTCAGCCAACTGGAGCCCAATGAGATGAGATAATCTGAGGCAGGGTTTACTCTGTGCTCTCCAAAGCAGATCAAAGGACATTTTTATCAAAATACATGGAAACTGGTAATGAACCTAAAATGGTGATGTTTGACTCATAGCTCACCCTGGTAGATTTCTCAAAGTTCTTCCTAACATCCTGGATGTTTTTGTGGTATGCTCGGATGCTGTATTAATCTAGGTACAAGCACGCTTATACTGCCCTGCCCTATAAAAAACACACACCAGTTCTGGGTTTGCTTTTCACAAGAAGCATTGCCTGATGTGAATGATGCCTCGCACAAAAGAGCTCTCAGAAGACCTACGATTAAGAATTGTTGACTTGCATAAAGCTGGAAAGGGTTATAAAAGTATTTCGAAAAGCCTTGCTGTTCATCAGTCCACGGTAGGACAAATTGTCTATAAATGGAGAAAGTTCAGCACTGCAGCTACTCTCCCTAGGAGTGGCCGTCCTGTAAAGATGACTGCAAGAGCACAGCGCAGACTGCTCAATGAGGTGAAGAAGAATCCTAGAGTGTCAGCTAAAGACTTACAAAAGTCACTGGCAAATGCTAACATCCCTGTTAGCAATCTACAATACGTAAAACACTAAACAAGAATGGATTTCATGGGAGGATACCACAGAGGAAGCCACTGCTGTCCAAACAAAACATTGCTGCACGTTTACAGTTTGCACAAGAGCACCTGGATGTTCCACAGCAGTACTGGCAAAATATTCTGTGGACAGATGAAACCAAAGTTGAGTTGTTTGGAAGAAACACACAACACTATGTGTGGTGAAAAAAAGGCACAGCACACCAACATCAAAACCTCATCCCAACTGTGAAGTATGGTGGTGGGGGCATCATGGTTTGGGGCTGCTTTGCTGCGTCAGGGCCTGGACGGATTGCTATCATTGAAGGAAAAATGAATTCCCAAGTTTATCAAGACATTTTGCAGGAGAACTTAAGGCCATCTGTCTACCAGCTGAAGCTCAATAGAAGATGGGTGTTGCAACAGGACAATGACCCAAAGCATAGAAGTAAATCAACAACAGAATGGCTTAAACAGAAGAAAATACGCCTTCTGAAGTGGCCCAGTCAGAGTCCTGACCTCAACCCGATTGAGATGCTGTGGCATGACCTCAAGAAAGCGATTCACACCAGACATCCCAAGAATATTGCTGAACTGAAACAGTTCTGTAAAGAGGAATGGTCAAGAATTACTCCTGACCGTTGTGCACGTCTGATCTGCAACTACAGGAAACGTTTGGTTGAAGTTATTGCTGCCAAAGGAGGTTCAACCAGTTATTAAATCCAAGGGTTCACATACTTTTTCCACCTGCACTGTGAATGTTTACATGTTGTGTTCAATAAAAACATGGCAACATTTCATTCTTTGTGTGTTATTAGTTTAAGCAGGCTGTGATTGTCTATTGTTGTGACTTAGATGATGATCAGATCACATTTTATGACCAATTTGAGCAGAAATCCATATCATTCCAAAGGGTTCACATACTTTTTCTTGCAACAGTAAGTCAGAAAAATAAAATGGGAAAAACTTCTTGTTCACAAGCAATTTGGCTAGCACATGTATAGATAACATTGTATTTGTAAAGTACATACTTAAAAGTTAATCACAGTAAAGTTAGGAACACTACACACATTGCATATATTTACTTTTGTGATTAACACTTAATTATTTAAGGGTCACTGTACATCTTCAAGTATGAAGAGGATCGAGGAACTTACTTCCAATATATCTCCCTTTTAAATCTGTCCGCTTGTGTGGGGAAAATTCAGGGTGTTTGATGCACCATTTAAAGTACTGTGGTATCTGTGTCAGGCAAGGGCTGGTTGCTCATAGGCAGGTTTCTGAACTCTCTGTAAAGATTTACATGGCCATCCTCACACTACTTTAAACCCTCCTGGTAGAGGGGTCATATAGACCCTGTTCATGCAAGGATTACATAAAAAGTATTTCACCCCAGTCACAATCACTACATGGATGATGGGTGAATAGGAAACAGGTCTAAAGATCTGTAGCCTGTATCTTTTGAGTCATAGATACATACTTGGATGTCTAGTAAAAAAAAATCTGTAATGCAATAATTCTTATGCATCAGGAACTCTGAAATGCAAATCAAAATAACAGCAGCATTTTTCGAGATCCATAACGTGCCCCACTCTGGACATCAGAGAAAGTAAATACATATGATATAGTTAAATACTACTTATTTTAAACTTGAAGTGTGAAGGTGTAAAGGGTTTGTCATATACCTGTTTTTGCTGGGATTTTGTCGGTAACTCCATGTTCATTGGCCCCTTCAATCTAGATAAATAGAATAAAAGCCATAGTTCACTGACTTTTAGCCTCTCTATACTTGTCAGGTTACATGACAGAAATCTCATTAACTAGAATCACTGCAGTCTGACCACTTTCATGACTAATTTGTGATACAGAATAGAGAGTTAAATACTTACAGCCATGCGTTTGCTGCATCCTGATTGATCATTTGAACTATGTAATCCAAAACTCTGTTAAAATTAAAATGGTAAAAACATAGTTTAGTCATATGGTCAATTTATTTTTGCATATTTTTTTTTTTTATAGCTTATCAAGCTGTCACAATCACAAAGGTAGAGAGAACAAACAGTTTCGAAAATGCTACTCAATCTGGAACTGTGAAAATGCAACAAGAGAAGTACACTGTTAATATATAAAAAAGAGCATTATACTTTAGAGCAATTTAATGATAAAAATGTCTAACATGTAAGGGCACAATACAACTAATCTAAAAGCACCACCACTTACTATAAGCCATTTGTACTTGCATGCCCTTGAGTGTTCATCTAGTCTCCAGTTCTTCTGTTCCAACTCCATTTGTCAGCCAGTTAATGCATGCAGTACTAAAAGACTGAACACTTACATTACCAAGGTTCACATGCTTTATGTGGGCTCATAATGTGAAAACAATTACGAAAGCATCACACTTAGACACTCTAGCCCTAGCATTGTTGCCCATTGTTACATTATCTCTGTGTGTACTTGTTGTGGAAATAAGGTCTACACATATTTCCTAGTTAAGAGAAAATGTCTATTTACTCATTTCACAATATGTTATAGAGTTAAGCACACATGTTTAATCAAAATGGCTGCTAGAAGCTTCTAGCCCCTCCACCCTCTTCCCCCCTCCCTCCCTTCATAACACCAAATAACTACCTCGTGCAACAAGATGGCGCCGGGAAACCGTGGGAGACCCTCATGGCCCCGGTGACATCACCTATAGTAGGCAGAGCATTAGAGCAACCACTTAACACCTAACCAATTATTGATGTATTATTCCATGTTATCTCTGACAATGCTTATGATGTAATTTTGCTTTAAAAGGGACCTGCCGTCCCCCCTGAATAAACATTCCTCAAGTTATTCAACAACCTGGAACCTGTGTCTGGTGTGAATTACTTCAGGGAGCGTGCACGCATTGTTTCATTGATTTGGCCAGGGGCAGATACACAAAGAAATAATCAATACTTTGATTGATTTTTCCCATTTCGGTACTATTGTATCCTTTGGCACAAGTTTGGCTTTTTGGTTGACTTTTCTATTGCTTTCTGGCCCATCTAAGGCGTCCTTTAAATTAGTCTTCGAATATGTAACCGGATCAACAAATCCCAGTGTCACAAGAACCTGGGACTTAACAAAAAACAAACCATAAAAAAAAACAAAAAAAAAACAATGCAAACAGACACATCTGGGTACTTTTGGACAGTTAGTCCAGTTTCTATATTTAGTTCATCTTGCTCCTAGAAAAACATTATCAACAGTTTCAACATGTGGTGCATTCCTGTAAACAATTTTAAACAATCTATTTCTTTCTCCAGTACAGTGTCTTAACGGTTAGTCCTTGACAACATTATGCCAAAAACTGTGTTTTCTACTTGCATGAGATTTGTTTTATCTGGCATCAATAAACTTTATTAAATGTTGATTATTAAATATTTGTTAAACTATTTAAAAATAAAGTATTGTTAAAAAGGTGAAAAGTCTGTTGTGCTTGGTGGTAACCTTACAACCATGCTTTAGATCAAAGGATAATTTCTCTACTATGCAATTTCTAGAATGTTATTTTTAAACTAACATTTACTTTTTCAACATCATTGACGAATGTTATGAGTTAATGAATATTGTAATACGTGGACAGTACTGATACTAGTTGAGCAGAAGGAGAAAGTCTGCTTTACCAATATAATCACAGAAGACAAGTAGGAGTACTTGAACCCATGTACCTATGTAAGTGACAAACTGCTCAGAAAGCTATTTTGACATCTTACTGTGGAATGGCAAAAGGGGACACATTGCACCATAACCACTAAAGTGTACTGTAGTTGTTTGGGTGTTTAGCGTACCCCTTTAATAAGTAAACATTTGTATAAATATAAGTAAGCAGTACAAACTGTGGTAGCTGCAAAATAAGCAATGTAATACTTGAGATGAACGGCACATTAGAGAAAATAAACCCAAATGTACAAAAGTTTAGACGACAGACACATTTAAAACCATGATTGTTTTCAATATGCTGCCTTGTGATTATCATACAAATGTACTAACATCCAATATCTGGGATGTATTGGTACAGCAGAGGTTTTAATATATTTCTTACCATTTAAAACTTACATGAAGCTACAAACGACACCTAAAATGGTTCAAGTATAACATGATTTTAGAGTTGACTGAGACTCTGATTTAGTGGATAATCTGAGGCAGGGTTTACTCTGTGCTCTCCAAAGCAGATCAAAGGACATTTTTATCAAAATACATGGAAACTGGTAATGAACCTAAAATGGTGATGTTTGACTCATAGCTCACCCTGGTAGATTTCTCAAAGTTCTTCCTAACATCCTGGATGTTTTTGTGGTATGCTCGGATGCTGTATTAATCTAGGTACAAGCACGCTTATACTCTACAGAGCTTTGTTATTATGTAGTTGCAAGTTTAGGTAGTTTAACCCCTTAAAGACCGGACTGTTTTTGTGATGCTGTACATTTGCGACCAGGCCTCCTTTTACACTTTTGTGGTGTTTGTGTATAGCTGTAATTTTCCACTCTCTCATTTACTGTTCCCATAAAAATTATATATTGGTTTTTTTTTCAGGACCAAAAAGGATTTCTTTACATACCATTATTTATATAATCTCATGTAATTTAATTAAAAAAAAAAAAAAATATGATGAAAAATTGAAAAAAATACATGTTTTTTTACTTTTACTTGAAAAATCTTTAACTCATCTACAAAAGCGAATGAAAAAACTGCTAAATAGATTCAGAATTTTGTCCTAAGTTTAAAAATACCCAGTGTTTGTATGCTTTTTTTTGCAAGTTATAGGGCTATAAGTACAAGTAGGATATTGTGGTTTCAAAACATACATTTTAAAACTGTATCAATAGTGACATTGTAACACTATTATCTGTCATAAATCTCTGAATAACACCCCACATGTACATATTTTTTTAAAGTAGAAAACTCAGGGTATTCAATATGGGGTATGTCCAGTCTTTTTTGGTAGCCACTTAATCACAAACACTGGCCAAAGTTAGCGTTCATATTTGTTTGTGTGTAAAAAGCTAAATTGAAACACTAATTTTGGCCAGTGTTTGTGACTAAGTGACTACTAAAAAAGACTGGACATACCCCATTTGCAATACCATGGGTTGTCTTCTTTTGCAAATGGTATGCCATCATGGGGGTATTTCTCATTCCTGGGCTACCATACGTTCTCAAAGGCAACGTAACCAACCTGGCCATTTTCAATGTAAAAATATTTGACCCATATATTTGACCCTGTAACTTTCAAAAACGCTATTAAACCTGTACATGGGGGGTACTGTTATACTCGGGAGACTTTGCTGAACACAAATATTAGTGTTTCAAAACAGGAAAACATATCACAACAATTATACCATCAGTAAAAGTGCTGTTTGTTTGTGAAAAATGAAAAATAAGTCACTTTCACTAACAATATCATTGCTGTGATATGTTTTACTGTTTTGAATCACTAATATTTGCATTCAGCAAAGTTTCCCGAGTAAAACAGTACCCCCCAAGTACAGGTTTTACAGGGTAAAATACAGTGCTAGCAAATTAAATTCTCTGGACTTTCGGCCTGGGTTGGCAGGCAGGTCCCTCAAGTTGCAATCAATAAAATTACTTAATTATGTAAAAATTTTACATAATTAAGTAAATTATGCACATAGAATTCAAATATATATATGCATATTTATATATTTAAAGTCTACGTGTATATTTATATAATTATAATATGGACATATGTATATTTCGTATTATTTCTATTTATTTATATGTACATAGATATATATACAATTTAATTCTAAGTGTATTTTGATATAAATATATATATATCAAAATACAGTTAGAATAAAATTAAAATTTTTGTAATTTTTATTATTATTTTTAATTTTTTTATTTAATTTAATTTACTTATTTGTATTTTATAATAATTTATATATACACACAATATATATAGTTATTATATATATACACGTGTGTAGTTTAATTATAAGTGTATTTTTATATTAATATAAAAATACACTTAGTATGACATTATATATATATGATATATAGACATATATTACATAGATATATGTCTATATATCATATTTATATACACATATATAATTGTTATTTTTTTATTAACATGTACCTTTTTTTATGATTTTACACTAGCAGGGAGACTGCCTGTCAGCACAGACAGTACCCCTGCAGGCAGACACATGGACACCCATTGTGACCATGTGACCGCTCTGTTAAGCGATCACATGGCCACACGGGTCCTAATCTGCCATGGGGAGACTGTCTGGGCTGCAGGCAGTCTCCCCACACTGGGAGCAACATCGATCGCCGCCGGGGGAACGACAGCGATCGGGTAAGTACATAAGACTGCTGTGACGGTTCAGGACCGCCAGCGGTCGGCAACGCAAAAATGCAGATGACAGTCCTAAACCGCCAACGGTTCTTAAGGGGTTAATATTTTTGCTTACTTTTTAAGGTCCTACCCCTATTCCTTTTTATATATACTCCTTCAAAAGGCAGGCCCTCTTTTTCAGGCCCCACCCGGTTTGTTGGTTTCGGCAAACCTCAACTGACTTGCTACTACTTGTATAACTCTGTCAATCCTTATTGTATGCCTTGGCCTTTTGATCCGCACCACAAATATTATAATATATATATTTATACACACATATATATATATAATCTCCACAAAGAAAGGCACACGCTGGGCTTTTTGAAGAAAATTATTTGTCTTTAATAACACATGGGTTACAGCAAATCGATGTTTCAGTCCATCATAGGACTTTCATCAGGATCAGTACACACACACACACACATATATATATATATATATATATATATATATATACATACACACACACTTAGCAATCTTATTTTGAGTTGAGGTTGAATTGAAGAA